TTCAAGTAGCATAAGCAGTTTATAGATGTTTACTCACATATAAAAAGCCAAAAAATGCGCAGTTAAAAGCAACTAAAAATACATATGACGCAACTCTTGAAACACATAAAAGAGTTCCGAAATTTTAATTGCTATCAAGAGGAATATAGACACAAGGCAAAGAAACTATACAGTGGTATAGAAGAAAAGTTGATTGCTCAAATGCAGACAAAGAGGCGAAGTTAAATTTTTTTTGCATTACTTTTTATGTATGCACTGATAATTTTTGTTCGAACAATCGAGAATTTTTTTTTTTGTCATGTACTATTATGAGTTGGGGAAAAAGTATCAAGAGATCTTTTTTGTCTGTTTTTAATTTTAATTGTTTTTTTTTTTTTTATTATTATTTATGTACAACACACATAACTATTACTGTTTATGGAATTTCCCTATTTTCGGAAAGCTTTACATAATTCTAATGGCGTAGAATTTGTGTGTTTTACTGACGAGCAGCTTGGCCGAAGGCAAACTAAGCTCCCCAGTAAAGTTTTCTCAGATATCGCAGATTCACTTAACATGTGTTTGTCCTTCACATAAAGTCTGGTTAATTGCAGAGAGTAGAGATGAATTCGGATTCTACTCAATATGCTTCACGTTTCTTTGACCACGAACTTTTTCGCATATCCTCGCATTTCGACCATTTCTTATAGACAACAAAGATTTGCTTCAAAGCTAAATCAATTTCGTTGTGTTTCAGTGAAAATAGAAGTTCGCTGATAGACATTTAGCCAACAATATTTTTTCTTCTTAATGGGCATCAAGCCTCTTTGCGCATTGAACCTTACGAAAATGGTTCCAAGTAGTTATAGAATCCATTTTTATTTGCTTAGCAGTGCCGTGGATGCTTTGGTGTTTGTCTTTCGCGATTTTTGCAAGATTCCTTTGTTGCTAGCAAAGATTGATTGGCCAGAAAGAGAAACGGAGAGAGAGAGAGAGAGGAAGAGGGAGAGAGAGATGCATGCTTGACGTTGGAGGCGAAAAAACCGTCAATATGCTGTTGCATAAAGTATTCTGATCGTGAATATCACTAATTTTTTCCCGCCCTTTTTGTCTTATTCACGGTGAATGAACGAAAAGTAAAGTTTTTCGATACCAAGTTTTGATATCCATTTTGATATTTCTGATGAAATACAATTAAATGAAATGCAGTCAAATTATAGATCGATATGTTATGTCACGTTTCAAAACCGTCCCAGAAATCTCTATGATAACAAACACGATTTAAGGATAAAAATCTCTCAATACTTTTCCCCTAAACTTAGATTTTATTACTTTTCACCAAATTTTTTTGCCTTTTTTTTTTTTTTGATAGTTTGAAGTTTTTTATTTTCTTTGAAGGAGTTCAACGTTTCTAAACTTGACGTTAAACAGCTTTGGGACGTTACCGCAAGTGAGGATGCTAAAAATTATTTTAGCCTATAGCATCGCCATTATTTACTTTCAATATATTCATTCCATTATCAATTTTACCTTTTCTTTATATGTCTTCAAAAAGTTTTTGCTTTTAGTACACATAGAAGGAGGAAAAACAATTCATGAAAGAGCGATAAATGTCAGTTAAATTTGTGTTATCAAGATATGTATTAATGTTCAAAAAGTATACACAATAGCGTATAATAATAGGGTTACAAAAAATATAAAAATGAATATGATGTGCAATCACCCGAATAAAAAGTTACTATCTATCTTAAAACTCGTAAAATCAGTCGAATGGTTTTGTGGACATAGAGGAGAACAAAAAAAAAAATATGTCAAAGAAAAAAGCGGTATGATGATGAACGGTAAAATGAGACATATCAACGGAAAGTACACTTTACTATCCGTTACATTTTTATTTAAATGAAACTTTGATTATCATTTTACACCCATCGGGGTATATTAATTTTATCAAAAGATTTGTAGCATCTAGATAGAAGCTTCATGGGATCTACTAAAGTATATATATATATATATTCTTAATTAACCTAAAATTCTAAACCGAATTAAGTCTGGCCATCTGCATGTTTGTCTGCCTGCGTGCCTACTGAAGGTCTGCAGTAATCATCTTCCTGTTCACAACAAATAAGTTATTGGCCTCAAATTGGGCAAAACTATTGCAAGTTCTTACATATAGGTTGGTATTGAAATTGGGCCGAATTGATCAAGGGGCACGGCAACAGTACGGCATCACTTGAGACCGCCGCTGTTTTCAAAAATAAAAGAATTTAATTCCTTTGCACGTTAGTTAAAAAGTACACCAAATACAACGATAAAAATTTGCACTTTTAGTTTATGGATAGTCATCGGCGACTTCTACTCCTCGGTATTATGAAGTATTGAAACTTTATTCATTTTTGTCAATATTGTTTGTAGTACTCAGAAAAGAACTTCAAGGACATATTATTGGTCAGTATCAAATTCTGCATCGTTCTTGACATTTTTGCCAGCTTGACTGTTTGTCCGTTTGTTAAATGGCTGTAGTGAGCATGCTCTTGATTGCAAAAATGAAGTCATTATACTCAGGTTGATATGGAGAATGGAACAAATCGATGAAAGTATACGCCCGCAATGTAATACAAATTGAGAAAATCTCTACTTTCTAGGTGTTTTTGCTCATTACACATAAACTACAGCAAGCACAGAGTCACACTTTCCTATTACTAGAGATTATGGAAATTTAGTTTTCTCAATTTTTTCTTTAGATTTTTTTTTTTTTAAATGAAGTTAGTGAGCATCAAATGGCTCAGTTGCTGCCGAGTGTAGTTTTCTTATTTGTTTAATGTAAGCCTAAGATTTGGTATCTTTTTGCAAATCATCTTTGTCCCAAGCCAAACAAAATATTGATTGCTTCACTTTCTGGCAAGGAAATGTTGAAAGCCTTCTTTAAATTCCATAAGAGGAGTATTTGCAATTTTCGGAATCCGTGCCATTTCTTAACGCTGTAGGTCCATAAAAAATGTATTGAGGCATTTGATAACACATTTATTTGGTGTCCGAAAAATATGTTACGCTTTTCAAAAAATTAAAAACTTTTTTTTTTTGTTTGTTTTCCGCAAAGAATAAAATTACACTGAGTTACGGTTAATGGTTGTTTTCATTATTTTCCCCTCATCCGTGGAATATTTTTTTACTAGAAGATAACTAATAAATGGTTCAAGTCCTCAATTAGGTGAAAAAACCAAAACTTAAAAACCGATTTAGGGATTAATTATGGGTAACGAAAAAAATTCGTCGAAGTAGTGGAAGCTTGAGGACTACACTATAAGGATTTCGGACAAACATTGAAAGTCACATTTCCCTAATAAGTTCCGATCACTTTTCAATAACAAGATCAGTAGAAGTGTGTGCGTGTGTGTGGATTCGGGCATGTCTGGTGTTTTGAGCGGGGAAGTGTGCGGACATTATTCCCCCATATATATACTACTATACGGAAAGGCCGAAAAAATTTTGATGAGCAAAAAAAAAAAAAAAAAAAAAAAAGGCCCTTTTTTATTGCGGGCTAAAATTCACTTTTCAATAACAAGATCAGTAGAATTTTGTCTAAGAATATTTTCCTTTACTTACCTTTAAGGCCAACCGGTGTATTATAATCAAAAGTGATTTTCATAACGTTGTGCCTGACTCACTTCTTAGCTCAACACGGAAATCATGGTTTTCCTCATCTTTACTGACCATATCTCAGAAATATCTATTTATACCTGTCATATTTGGGTTGTAATGAAGTCAATCGCCATCACATTTTGATTTCGATTTTTCTCGAGTCAGGAATATGTTGCTGTTTTCGTTTTTATATTCTTCACATCATATGTTATAATGTTTGTCATATCTTTAAAAAACCAACCGATAGGATATTTGTGTAAATTTATGTATGGGTTGGTGCATGAATGTCCGTTAACGCTATAAAGAGACAAAATTGAAGAAAATTTTTGTGATTTTTCATTTTTATTCGGTACAACGGTGTACGTAGATTTTTTCAAAACTGCCCCTGCAGTAATAAAATAACATTTGCTATGATGATGATTGTCAGCCATTGTCAATGGCTTTCATTGTTGTTGTCATTATTAATGGCAATGAGCATTTTATATGTTTGTCAGTATAAACTCTCTTATTATATTATAGTTACTACAAAGTGTGCGAAAGATATTTTTATTATTAATATTTTTCCTTTATATTTTGTATATTTTGTCCACTCACTACACGATTATATTATTAAAAATGAACAAATTTTATATACTTCGAAAATCTGCTATTCAGTAGACAACGTCAGCCACCGAAGCAAATGTTCAGCTTAAGACATGTGTTATTTTCGTGCAACTTTTGCATGATGCCTAAATAAATAATGGAATCTTTCTTATTGTTATAGTATTTCCTGCTCAAGTTTCTAGTTCGTGACCGATCTCTTTATCTTATACAATGAAATGATAATCTTAATAAGCAGTTTATTTATACATCGAAGAATATGTACCAATGAAAATTGAGAAAATCAATCTTCATATATTAACAATACAGAATTAGTCGCTGTGATCTCGGCACATTCGAGAAAACAGGAAGCTATCTGAAAATTGAAAAGCATTCTTCGCAATCGTTGAGCATAAAAAGTACTATACTTTTCCAGATTGACTTGCAAAAAAAAAAAAAACAAAAAAAAAACTCTCTTACCTAAAATGAATGTGATTTCGTCATTTGTCTTTTAACACTTTATCGCAAACGAAATGTTGTTAACATTTTCATTCAGTAAGAGTTAGAGCGAAATTTCGAGCATCTGTTAAATATTTATTGAATAACCTGGTACAACGTTTCTCACACAATAAACACATTCTTGTCACCCTTAAGTGTTCTAATATACCATTTGGTATTCGATTGTTAAGTTCACCATCAACCGACAAACCAACCAACTATAGCTTCCTTGTGGTGAAATCAATTTGAGGGCACATTCGGACCCGTTGCGTTCTGGCCAGTACATGTGACATTTGATTTATTTTTTCTCCATTAATTTGTTAAGCATGAGAATAGCTTTTGTGCCAAAAATGTCCCATAGTATCCCCCAATGGCCCTTGTGTCAATATGTATTTCCGTTCTGCACGTTCAAGCTAAAATGTATAATGCATATTATTAACAAAATAAAATTAAATCATTCAACTGCGATTCTGAACCTTGACTAAATTTGCATTTATATAATCAACGCTTCCGCGATGTATAATGATTCTTGAATGATCGTAAGGATTGACATCGCGATATCGATTGAGACAACGATTATGAGGTTTTTCTGATTCGCTGGTTCCAAAGTGTTTCTCATTGGCTTCTCGTTCACATTTTTCACGAATTTCCTGCAGTAAAATAAATATATATTTAAAAACAACTAATCACATTTTAAATTATAAAAAATTTTGATTTTTTTTTTTTTTTTTTTGTATATAAATTTTAGATCAAGCTGTATATTTGTTAGCATCAGCAACACATGCCCATATAAATTCATAATGATATGAATTTTATGGCAACTGAATGCGTGCATTTAATTTACAATTATTTTAATTTTTCTTCATGCTATTTAGCTATTGAGGTGACTTTGTTCATCAACAATGCTGAACAACAATAATAACATAGAATAAGAAAATCTGAGAAAGAGAAAAACCGTTGCTATATATTTATTACTGTCGTTATATTGCACTGGACTCTCAAATGCATGTAAATACATGACATTCGCCAATATATGATTACATATAATGTATGTATTCAAATTTGATAATTGGCACATTCATGTTAATATCAAAACGATAGTATTGAAAAATGATAACTTTCAAAATTAGAATAAAGCAATTTTTCTTGTCTCTGTAGATAGGAATAACGCCAATTTTTCTGGTAATGACTGTATGAGAATATCAGTCTTCATGCTGTCGTTGGGGTGTACACAACCAACTTCAGCGCGTTACTCAATTGAAATAAAGAAATAAAGAAAAGAGTCAAACATAACCTAGAAAGCAAAAAATTAAAAAAATCTTAGTAAAAAAGCATCAATATTTCATCATCACGTGAAATTTTGAATATCAGCAATGGATTTCTATATAGTTACTGGATTATGGATCTTAAATTTAAGTTAAAAGGTCCAATCCATATCAAATACAAACAAACAAACAAGTATGAGAATATATATTTCAAACTAAGTATATCATTTAGGTTTTAATATAACCTTAGAAAGTGTTGATAAAAGCTTATGTATCTGCCTGCACGGTCACGGAATTCACGCAATTCCAAGGGGATTTTGGCAAGTATTTTCTGTGTTCGTAATTAAACTAATTTAAAAAGAATTTGTGTACTTGGTTGCATACATTTAGTTGAAATGTAAATAAAATGCTTTCCATAGAATTGTGGAAAATGCAAGGATTTCACCTGTACCTGATATAAACGTTGCCAACCATTTCGATCATTTGCTATTCTATTGTATTTAAAATATCGATTTCTAGCCAGTTGTGGACACATATAAGCTACATCTCTCTTATTCGCTTAGTCCATTTGAATTCAAAAAGCAAAAAAAAAAAAAAAAAAAAAAAAAAAAAAAAAAAAAAAAAAAAAA